GCTTTCCAGCATTTGCAGGAAACGCTCATTCTAGAAAATCCTATCGCAAACGGTTGGAAATAATAAATGTAACAGCAGAATACGTCCTAGCACAGTCACTCTACTAGGAGAGTGACTTCTAAAGAATGAATGGTGTTTGCGAACTTCGTATTAGTTATAAAGCGACGTTAGCTTCACGTTTATGTCACCATGGAAAACAGCCAAAAACATATTGCTTGTTTCTGAGCGGAGCGGATCGCCAACCAGCCTACCGGCTTGTTTTTGGTATGTGTTGGTTCTTGGATATCTAAGCTTCATCGTCCTGTACTTCGTTTAGTAATTCGAAATTCCCAGTTTGCGTAAAAAGGGGTGGTTTGCAATTTTGACATCGAAAATGCCTTTGCTTCAGTATTTGCCAAGGACGGCCGCTTAGGTATGTGATCAGTCATCTGTCATCTGAACCTAAAAACGTTAGGTAATCAAACAAAATGATGTACTAAAGTCCAAAAAGTATGTTCAAGGTTTTCATTTTTTTTTCGTAGCAAATTACAATTTACAATTTACTCCCTTGCTTAAAGTGACACTTTCAAATCAACTGATTTCCATTCCCCTCAAGAGTCAAAATGGTATGTGCCTCCATTTTATGCCACGACTAGAAAAAGTCTTTTTTGCTTGACGTGTTCATGTGCCTTCAATTACGTTTCAGTGGCTGTCACTGTCGCATTCTGAGTCTTGCCGATAACATTTTGGTTCAAATCCATGTAGCTATCTCGAAAATTCAAGAAATCTTTTATTTCTTTGTCAACTAACATGCCGGAAATCAAATTAGCATAACAATGCGTTCAAAGGTTGTTGCCATTTTATTCGACAGCTTTCTTACTACTATGATTAAGTCATCACCCTAGACTCGTTTATAGTAAGTAGTTTTATCAGTCATGAATTGGATCTACTGTGTATTAAGAATAAACCTACTAAGCGTTACATACTGGACTACATGTATCTGTATCTCTTCTCTGTGTACGCCCTTACCGCCTGGTAACGATTCCCGTACGTACCTCTAGCCCACCAACTTATTAAGCTAATCTACGATTACTGAGTTCCCCAAACTCAGTAGAAGCCCCGACAACACCTGATGGTAGAAGCCCCGACCACACTTGGTGGAGAATCCCTGACAACAACTGTGGTAGATGCTTGTGCGTATTTATTTACTAATTGGCATACAACATTTTAGTAATTTACAGATTGATTTAAAGGTGTAATCTGAAGGACTATAGAATAATATAAAATCAAAACAAATCCATTACCCATACAAGATGACAAAAGTCATCAGGTTTATGAGATGCACAATTCCCCAACAGTGAAAGTATGGACCATCTTGAACCGCTCTACGTCTCTGTACAAATGGTGGCTTGGGTAAGCGTACATGCTAGCATGCTGCACCCGTCAAGTTGATACCAATAACTCCAAAAGCATGTAGCTATCTGGGCAAGTTGTAAAATAGTTTATAGTTAGGCATATCAAGGAATACTGTCTCTCATCATTTGCGAGACAGACATGTCAAGTTTGGAAATTAAATGCTTGTATCTTTCAAAAAATCTTTTAAAAGTTCTAACAAGTACTGATTTGAGTATTCTTGCTTCACCAGCTCTGAAGCCAGTGAGTTGTGTCTTACCCAAAAATCGTTGTACAATACACAACCTCTAGAATATCTAGAAGGTGCGAGATATAAATACCATAAGCTGGAGATGATGGATCCATTTTGCCATACAGCCTAGTATATAGACCATTCGGTCTAATTTGGAAAAACAAATCAAGGTAGGAAACAGAATTCATGTTCTTGGTGGTTTCTTTAATTTCTAACTCATGAGGATAAATCAGGTCTCGATATTCAAAATACTGTGATGGCTTAATTATCGTATTATTAAACCCTCAAGTCAGGTACCAATGATCGGGGAGTTTGCCACCTTTTCGACTGAACACACAGAGAATCAAATCGTTTTAATCTCTCATCTCAGCGTTGTAGGAAAATCAGCCTAGTTTTCCGCCATGTAAATGCGAGCTAAATTTATAAATAAAATTGGCCCGACCCTTGGTCGAGCCTAACCAAGCCAAGTGTTGTATTTGCTTTGTACAGCGTATGATGTGGGTATTTGCGTTTGAATGGGAATGTAAGGTTGCATGCGTCTTGCAGGTGGCTTTGTTATGTAAATTCATGGGAGTTGTGTGGTGGACGTGGCAAGTCAGTACACCACGAGCCGTCGAAGAGTGAGCACCGTATTCAGCTCTGCCTAGCAGCAGTTTGTAAGGGCATTTCAGGCTCTTTGTCACCTTGCT